CGTGGACTAAGTGCACTAAATCCTGTTGTAGTCACCCAGTTTCTTGGAAGGTTCAACTGTAGAGACAAACTTACATGAAGTAGGTATGTGATTGAATTGCATGGTGAACACGAATTTTACTTGTTTATAATCAGACCATGAGTATTCCATCTTTGGTTAACTAAATATGTTTAGGTTCACTACTACCTAACGGTTCCCTAAAAACCCAGGATATGACCTTGTTAACCATCATGAGGTGTAATGTTCGTTTCTTACGTAATCCATTGCTAGCCAAAATGCAACCGATACACAAAAGGCATTTCATTATAAGTGGGATGGTGGAATGGGCGTCAAGGATAACTCCATCCTCCATTACAACTTCTTGGAAGTCTTTTTGAATGCTACCGCCCCATGCGTTAATGACTTCGGGTGGCCTCCGCGCTGCGTATTAAACTGGTTTGCGAACTTCATTCACTACCCCATGTCTTACGCAGTCACGATAGAAACCTATTTTATATGGCCTCAATAAGACCAGTGCCGCATCATCTTATTTTTCAAACCCGTAGGGACATCCAGAAATCTAAAAAGAAAACAAATTGTAACCAGTATCTATCCTACGTTCTACATAGGCTCATGAACCGTCATCCCTTCCAACTTTGTAAAAGCCAAACTTAATGTAAATACGGTTTTCAAACAGCACTTTTATAAGTAGATAAAAGCCAAGTGAAAGGACAATTTATACAAAAATTTGACTAAACAATTATGCTAACCAAAGCTGAATTCATCTGGTTCCATTTCTACCAAACGTGACTATGTATCGAAATCAAATCAGAGCCCTGGTCATGTTTTTGGCATGATGTGGTCATTAGAAATTTTATCGACTTGCCTACGAAAAACCGGCTCAATCCACTGTGTATTGAGCAAAATATTTTAGCTGTCTGCCCAGGAATTTGCCACTTTTGGTACATCCCGATTTCGGCATAAGCCAATCGCTTGAGTGATTAACTTAGCGCCCTCGTGGGACCAGTATGTCACTTAATTTATAGCCGACATCCGCAATGTGTAAATGCCATGGTTAACATCCTTAACGGGATACACATGACCACTGTTCCCCAAAGTCGATCATCAGGCAGTAGCAAGCAACCAAGATGCGTACAATGGGCTGGAAATTTTACCTGATTTACCTGGCTCTGCCACATTCCTACAACAGTTATCCTTTCAGACGCGTCCCAGAATAAATCACGCCGGCAGTTCCCTTGGAAACTGACGCGCAAAGGTCGACGTGCCTCACAGCACATCACGTCTGAGTGCATGCGCTCCAGTCAGGTTTGCACTCAAGCAGTTTTTCTGCGGCATCAATGTTATAAAATATAACAGAACAGCTTAACCCCACTTGTCGCCTTACGACGCCGGTTTCCACAATGTACATAAATAGACCCACCTAACCCCTTATGTTCACTCATTTTAAAACACTCCAGTGTGTCTAACTGTTTTCCACAAGTGAGGGTTAATCACCTCAGTTTTGTCTACTCTAACAGCCTGATGATATCCTGATGCTTACCGCGAGTGGAGAGATCATTGGCCAAAATATGGCATTTCCCCAAAACAAGCGAATATGGAGCGGTTTATGCCCGACCCGCTGGAGCCCGCTCACACTCACCAATGTGTCCCTTAATTCTCACCAGCGTTTTGAAGATCAGACATGGATCCTGAGTTGGAAACTGATCTTCGGAACATCAGACTTAAAAATTGGGCTATCAGAGGAGTCATTCTGGTTAAGATGTCCCTATTCTTTGGGATCTTTCTCTCTCAATAGAAATCCATGCCCAGAAAAAAACGCAAGGGAATTCAGTCTATCCCTCTCCTACTGAGAAGTAGGAGTGTCTGGATACTGCGTCGTTAACAAGGTTCTTCTTGAGTATGAATGCCATAAATGAACGAAATTACGGACACAGAACTGTCTGAATCCATTTCTTGGACATCAGCACACCAAATAAGGGTGCAGGTTACACTATTGTGGTAGTATACCTAGTAGCTAAAGAGCTTTTGACCAAGCCCTTTATTCATCCCTACCATAAAAAATACCTCAGTTTGCGTTACTCAATTCTAGTGTAAGTAATTCATCTCATACCTGTTTAGTAGGACCAGTCACAACTTGAAAGCGACCGTCCCCTGCACTATCAATCACTAGTGGGGTCATTCAAGGGAGCATTCCAATCAACATTCTCTCCACGCTGCATATCAAACGCGCCGGCAGAATGATGAACACTTCCTTGCAGATGGCATAAATGTCATCTACATATTCTGTCAAGACTCTTGCCTTCTATCGGATCCAACTTAAAGTAAACTAGGACTCACCTGTCAAGTGCCACCGGCCTAAGATTGTCTACCAGATCCCAGATGGCTTCCTGGTGCTGAACGCACTGCTTCCAGGACTGGAGGTGAGCCTGACACTTATTCTGTGGTGATCAGAGTTCTTGGTCTCAAGTATTCGTAAATTTTTAGTCTACCTCACCAATTCAGATTCCAGGTCACCGGAGAACCTAGACTATGCTTTTCGGTGCTGTGCTCCTTCTACCTAAGAGACACAGACCGCAATCTTTAAGCAATTTGTGTGCTAGTTCAGCACAGTTTATCTAGCATTCTCAAACTTTTACACTCAAAGTTGCAAGTTCTCCCTAACCTAAAAAGTATTTTCACAATTCAAACGTCTCTGCCACAATACCGCCGCCTACTCCTGGGTCATTAATCACTGTGGCTCAAACAGCTTAAAATTAATCTCGCCTTCTTGCATTCTTTGTTTCGCCACAATGCTTTTATAACAGTGAATTCACCGTTATTTTGAAGACATAAAGAGTGAATGCCAGTGATGAATGCGAAAGGGCAACAGGAGAATATGAGATAAAAAAACGTCTCATTCAATGTCATGTCACCAACAGTTCCAGTCATACAAGATGAATCCCACTCAAAGTCGCTCTCTTGATTACGCACAACGAGGCTGTGTATACATATCAGAACACCCTTAGTCTACATCGATCAAATGCGTTCTTCCGCGTTTCATCTTTTCACAAATCACACCACCTGTGTCATACTTTCTTCTCAACGGGTGATAACCACCCAGTTGACCGAAGATCGCGTCATCTGTAACAATGCCTTTGGCACTGATTGTGTCAAGGTTAAGATGTAGGATTTGGGGATGGAAAGAGCCAATTGTATTGAAATTCAGCTCCACCTGCCGACTGTTCAACCCTATTAGACTCAGCTGCCATTTCTTTTTTCTCTAGTGTCTCTCATAGGGCGTTTACTGTCCTGGTCAGATAACTCGGAACTATTGGCCTGGAGGACCTTCAGCAACAGGTTTCGGAAAGTTTCCAAGACATTCCGATCTCTTCCTACTTCTCAACGCCGGGATGAACTCAACGCTTGAGTGTCGTTCGCCCATACGGGATGACCACTCCAACTCAGCATGACTGACTGAAGCAAATACGAAAGCAACCCATTGACACATTGTCGATAAATGAAAACCAGGTCTTTTGAAAAATCTCGAGGCTCCCGTATGTTTGCTATCATTTCTACCGGGATGGTTATCCTCCAGAGTCTTCCAATACTGTCTGCGTTTTTGTCTTTTTCCTACTCCATTCATTTTGCGAAGGCAATCACCCATTATCGAGTTGTTGGACGGAAATTCACTTTCTTTCTCAGGATGGCCAACCTATGGAACTCCATTCCACTTTCTAAACTTCCCACCACCCTCAGTATATTCCTCTCACTAAGAAGTCAACATATATTTGAAACCCTGAAATCGTTGCATTGTCCTCCAACTTCTTCATCTTTTACGCGTGGCTTCCTGTCTACAAGATTCACCGTCCTCTGTAATTTCACATTTTCGTCTAATAAGACCGTTAATTTCATCTGCACTAGACTGAATGTTCTCCGGAAAACAAGAACCCAGTGTCCACAAGGATTGCAATGCGACCAAAAACACAGCCGGAAGCGTTCTACGTAACTCGAGGGATGAAGCGAAAACTACAAAAGAAATCCGCATACCCTTCGGTAGGAATAGATATCCATCCCAAATACACACCAGGGGACGTGGAAACGGAACACAGACGGTTCACAAGTTACAGAAAACACTATTCATGTGAAAAATGAGGAAGATTCACTCAATATTGAAACAAATGGCGACTTGGAACATCTATTTCAGTATTCTTCCAAGATTCTTGATTGGAAGGCTGCACCAACCTTGAGACTCCAGACAACGCGGTTTTGGAGCACACTCCCTCAGGCATAATGAAGTGGTTTCCTCAGATACTCCAACGGAATTCCTCGTCGTGCAGCTTAGATGAACTTTCTTACAGTATGTAAGCACAGCTGGCTGAGCGATCTATTGGAATGATTTGATACAGAGGACCAACAGGGTTATCCACCCATTGTTATCACACGGTCCTTGGACGGAAAAGTTCACGTCTTCTGATAGTGCTAAATACCACAGATTTAGAATCCAATATTACTGAAAGTGAATCAACGCAAGGTTTCAAATCAGACTGATGAGGGGAGAGTACCGAAAAACTGTCTCCAAAGGCTAGCCAGAAGGTGGCGCATTCAGATCCCTTTAGGGATTTGTGAGATATGGATGGCCGACGACTGCCAACAAGACCAGAATAGCACAACAATGATTCTTAGCTTTCCAACGTATAATCGGTCTCATTTTCAGAATGAAATCGCCAATGAAAATTCTTAATGCCGGCCGGAGGTTCGATGAACCTGATAATAATGGAAACCTGGCTTGGAAAAACTGCTTGAAGCAAGTAATGAATCTACTTTCGTATTTCCTGAGACCGCACTTCAAAAGTGCGCAATGAATGACACGATAACTTCACAGCAGGTCTTTAGTTAGGAGCTCAAATATCGTTGGAGCATTCAGCCAATGCACGTGTGCAAATCAGAGGCTGAGCGGCCCATGTTCCTCCCCTTCCCTTCGCAAATAAGCAAAGCACTAGATGGTATGTCAACAATAAAGTCTGACTGCCAATCTCAAAACCGCGGAGTTAAGTGAAAAAGAGCGAACTGTTTTACACGTTCCCGAGGCAAATATTCCCCAACCGTAATAAATGACTCAGGTAAGGAAGGCGAGTAAGAACGCTACATTGTAAGCGAACGCGATCACTCGTTACTAAAAAGCATGAAGAGATGAATCGCAGCTCGATAAAATCTAGGTATTTTAAGGAAGGCAGGAACATGGGAAAAGACAACAGCTCTGTGACGGATGACAAAAATTAGTAGTCATGAAAAAATATCCGTGAAGATGACGTGACTGAATTAGAATGACTTCCGAATTAAAAAGAAACCAAGGCCTGTGTCAAGTTCAGGTGGATGGAGATTGCGAAACACTCGTCTATAGAGGCGAACAATCCCCCTGGAAGCGCGATTGGCGTACCGGGAAAGAAGGTCGAAGAAGCGAGACCAACAACTAGCCTTGTCAGAGTCAACTACGTCCATGGGTTCTTGCATGAACAGTTCAAAGTATTCCCAAGTAATACGAGGAAAATGATTTTGCCAACAATTCTTCATCTCCTCAAAAGATGGTTTGCACGGAGTGTAGTTGACCCAGTTACTAGTGGTTGTGTAGACTGCCTGCAGAGACTGTAAAGAACAGAGATAAGAACAAACGTTTAAAGTCAGTCATATATCGACTTCGATTCGCGCATGAGAAGCATTTTTCTAACCAAGCAGTACGTTTTGAGCGAAGTTTTACGTCATTCAAAATCTGAGAAATAAGATAACTATTCATGGAGTGACCATGTTGAGAGGCCAGCTACAAATCCGGGAATATGGAACTCAATCTCAGTCCTCATGTGGGCACTAACACAACCTGTATCCCCAGACTGAAACTAGGTACAGTACCATCCTTTTGAAGATGGAACATCACAGGGAAAAAGGCTTTTTCGCCCTTTCTCGGGAGTAGCTGATGCTCACGAAAAATCTGCAGTTGGTGAGGAACGCGTTTTGCCTTTTCATGAAGTTACTTCCTTAGGAGAGTGGAAACTAGATACACTACGGAAGTAATGCGGGCAGCTGACGGAGGGTTTGTTGACTCTTGACTGAACTAAGAAAGTTATGTTGATTCTATGCAATCGAACAAAGTGAACTAAGTCAAACTTCGACTGCGGTTCGCGCAACTTTACCTGAGCCAATCGCTCATTGCTGGTTCAAGCTATGGATAACGGGAGATGGGGTTGAGTTTCTGACCCCTCTGTGCCCGCCAAGGTGGCGACCCATAAATCTTAGATGAAGGGACGGTATCAATGAAATGCTGAGTTATGGCCACAGATAACATGATGACTAGTATCACGATCTACATACCTACGAATGCCAGGCCCACTTGTGAAACCAGCCGGGCTGTTTAGGTAAATTTCCGCACGATAGTTGTCAGCAGGTGTGAGGTAAATTAGCATCGCTGGCACACTGATATTTGGTAGGCGTGTTAACTCCAAATGGGCATTCTTTGTGGGGTACAAAAAAGGATGTGACATCGAAATGAAATGTCATACGTGAGCTTCATATGAACAACGATAATGACGTGGGGTTGTTCGACAAATTATGAAACTTCATGGGTCTTTGAGAGGAATACCGACGAATTGAGGTGCAATAAATCCCCCATCAGATAGAACGATTTGGCGGCAAGAAAGACCTTCCTTGGTCCAAGTTTTTACTCTTAAGTCACTTTGGGGGCAGGAGAAACGACCATTTTAACTTATTCAAGTCGTTCTCACTATGGATGCCATTGTCCACCCGAATCAGATAACATCGTCTGAGTAAACCATTACAAACGAGCCGTCCCGTGGGTCAGAGAATTGAAGAAACATCAAGGCTTGCGATCGGTTTGACCCAGCAACGAATCACTCCGGATATAGATGACTTATCAGTTCCATCCATCAAAGGGGAGCATTCCCGCAAGGTCTGTCTGTCTGTTTTCAGAGCAAACTCACGAGAAGAAGACAGAAACGATTGTACCTGATTGGGTTAGGGTCGTCATGGCTACAACGAACATATATAAGAAGCAACTGAGTAAGTCAGGCGAAAAGGGGATCCTGACTCTGGGGATAATATGCAACCACAATCACGGTGAACGCAAGTAGAAGCGTAAGCGATCATGGAATTTGTGAACATAAAATAATGACAGTACACAAGGTTATGTGCGATTACGATGCTAACAGTGAGCGACAAACACCAAAGTGCCAGCTTTAGACATCGTACGCGACTTCATCGCAAGTTCAAACTACTTCAGAAACATCCCGATGAAAATGACCTAGAACAGAAGGGATGGAGCGGATTAAATTCACGCCCACTACCTGTTCACTATTACACTACTGGGTCAGCCAGGAGCAATTGTTGGTTGGGCGGTGTCGAGCTAATTTTTCGACCGCTAATCGCGACAGTTTGAAGCCGCCACCAAACTCCACATGGTGACGTCACACAAAGTTAAGAGAATTCCATAAAGGAAACTACTCACAACGTTGCTGAAAACTCTTCGACAGCCCACGACCGGTTTCGCCCTTCTTGGAGCTCATCAGGTAGGCGCAGTCCCCGAGTTTCCGCCAACCTTGTTCTACTTGAACCCAAATTGGACTGTTTTCGAGAAATACACTCATTTTCAAATGAATTTGGTTTTCACGAGAGACTCAACTGAATTTATCGTTTATGATATTCGATACCTCGAATATCGTGCCAACTGAATCATGAGACGGCCTGTGTGCAGCACATTCAGTTGTAGAATATCATAAACGAGAGATTCAGTTGGGTCTCTCGTGAAAACCAAATTGAGGGAATTCCGCTTTGGTTCTGGTTTGATTCGATGAAAGCTTTAACGATCAATCGAAAAAGCTGAGGGCCACGAACATACTGTGTAGTGAAAGGTGTGACCATTGCTATAATCAGGTTTTTGTTAGTAGGTTTATACAGGCATTGAGCAGGTCGGTATATGCGATCACATTAACCGTCAATTTCCACATCAGAAATGTGGATAACAAGCGAACTACCGCGGCAATATACATTCATTGGCACACGAATTCGGTTTTGACGGGAGACTCACCTGGAACCCAGCTGAACCTCTCGTTTGTGATGTTTTTAAGCAACTGGATGTGCTACACCAGGCCGTCCTATGTTTCAGTTAGCACGAGATTCGAGATACCGCGATACGCGTATGGACGTAATACACTACTTATGAGAATGCTGAAAGCTCTTTGACAGCCCGCGACCGGTTTCGCTTTTCCTGGGGCTCATCAGGTAGGTGCAGTCCCCTGGAACCAAGCTGAAACATCATGAACGAGAGATCCAGCTGGGGTCCAGGCGAGTCTCCCGTCAAAACCATATTGGTATGCAAAGGAGTGTAGTTCATTCGTGAAATTTCAGTTAGCACGAGATTCGAGATACCGCGATACGCGTATGGACGTAATACACTACTTATGAGAATGCTGAAAGCTCTTTGACAGCCCGCGACCGGTTTCGCTTTTCCTGGGGCTCATCAGGTAGGTGCAGTCCCCTGGAACCAAGCTGAAACATCATGAACGAGAGATCCAGCTGGGGTCCAGGCGAGTCTCCCGTCAAAACCATATTGGTATGCAAAGGAGTGTAGTTCACTAATTTCGTGAAATTTTGGTTCAAGTGGAACATAAGGTTGACGAAGACTCGGGGACTGCACCCACCTGATGAGCCCCAAGAAAGGAGAAAATGGTCGTTGGCTGTCGAAGAATTTTCAGCATTCTCGTGAGTAGTCTATTACGTTTATCGCAGCGATTTTTCGTCAGAATAGAATAGGGGGATCAAAGTATTGATTTCGGCTCGAAATGGATGACATCGTATTATTGAGCAGCCAAATATAACTATTGATTTTCGAAAACGTTTGGTGACAATCGGTAGATTTATTGCTGGGCAACGTTTCGCTTTTGACACGAAATCTTTTGATTGGTCACGTTTGGTGACGCAAATAAGTTTCTGATTACACATGCCGTCCTCCATAGATACGTCAGGGGGGATAGTGTAAGACAATCACGGAAAAGACATTGGAGCGCTGGGTTCCACGATGTGAATGGTTATACAGGGAGACTTCTGTGAGAATATTCTATCTAGCTACTCCAAAATCGTTAACGAACAAGTATGGCAGTAAAGGAGCACAATGAGCAGTATTATTACCTGTAATAATGCCGTTGAATCCAACTGACCCATCAAAGGTCAACTCAACGACGGATGACACGCTATTGATTACAGATGTTCAACACCAACCAAATGGTGTCCTCTAACGCAGTGCAGGCCACGAACTAAAAGTGATCACATTGCAATCAGTTACTGATGGTGTGGCTCAATGACTGACCGCCGATCATTTTTGGACGCAGTGGTGAATTCCTGCCACATACTTTCTGGAGTCGCTCATCGCTTTGTTTTTCATGCTCGCGTAAGGCATGGACACATGGACTAGCAACTGAGAGACAGACAGATCCGGATGTTAGATGAATTTACCAGAATCTTCTTCTAAAGGCTGCTCCAAATGCTAAACCATCAGACCTGAATTCGTACTGAGACGGTACCACCACCTCTTTGCAGTGCTCGGAGTTTTGACTGTGGCATGGCGCGACAAGGCCCACTCAAACACAGGATATGAGACCGAACAACGGGACAGCTTAAATCTGGGGAAAATATCGCAGCCGGTCTGAAACATAACTTGACCCGGCGAACTATCAAAGTGAGCGTGTGGGCCGACTGTGATGTATGATGGACTCGGAAGGCAAGGAAATGGTAAATGCCCAGGAAACTGGAAATATCCGAAGGTTAGTTGATCCGTGCGACCATCCCCCGGAACCCCCCTTTGAGCCAAAGGACTGGAGTGGAGCGACTATGGTTAATAGAGAAGAATGACCCGACCGTTGGGCCGGATACTTCAAACAGCATTTATTGAGCCACCAGCTGTCACTCATCCGAAGATTACAACTGACGCAGAACCGTGGATGATGCCTGCACGTGTTCTCTCAAGCGCCACTGAGCGCTTAACCGGATGACCTTCCACTCGCATTGTTCAAAGATGGTCTTGAAGTCCTCAGTCTGCGCTTGTCTGCATGCCACGAACAAGATGGAAAATGCATCCACATCAACGTAGAGTTTGATCATCACCCAAAGGTAACCAATCTAATCAGTCCAAATGAAATAACACAGCTTAGTTGGGATTTTACTCTTACTAAAGCTCATCAATGGTGCGAACCCGAAGGTGCGATTGAATTCAGAACTGTGACCAGCTGAAGCGTGAAGCAACGAGGATGAATTGTTTGGTCTAAACAGGATGCATTCGTAATAGAGTTACACGTGCAGGTTCTTGTTGTACTTATCGACAGGGCGGCACCACAAACGCTTTGAACATTCTGGAAAATCGGGGTGAGTTTAAGGTGGGTGTGGCCATAGAGTTAACCCCAGATGATGACTGTTGTCCATCTGACCAAGGCTTAATTAATCATGTGCGTTGTGTACTTTAGGCTCATGAACAACGAACTTACAGGGAGTGACAAGGCGAGGGCCAGGATACATGAAGTGAGGGAAATCGGTTAATGAAGCGATAAATGGTGACTTATTCAGTATTCCTTTTTTTCTAACTTACAGGTCGAATAGAAGCTGCCGGACGTCTAGGTCGTACCGTGTTGTCAGCTACTCCCCGGGTTGATGAGCGTTTGCCTAAACTGAGGTTCCACGAAACCCAAAAATCAGTGAACTTTCCAATTTGTTCCACATCATTTAACAGAGATGCCCGCCGAGCCGCATCCGATTGGAATAAACCCGATGTAATCCAGCTGAGGAAACCAGTGGATGCGGTATTCGCGTCGCGCGAGATTATAACGGTCTGCAAGGCGACCGAAAGAGGTGTCTCCAAATTCATCAATCTTTTATACCAAGAGAAGGTGTTCAAGCTATCAACGACCAAGAGAAGTCGACAACGGCTAGGAGGAGTGTTAGTTTCCACGAAAACGTCGTTCCACAGCTCAAGGATGGACTGCAAATCAACAACTGTGCCATCTATCAAAGATTCAAATAAACAAAGTGAAAACAAGGCTACAAGACCAAGATTATGAAATTGGTTACACGATAAATAATTAGTTCCGTCAGATGAACCATCACCAGCAATCTAATTAATTGAATTCATGCGGAATTCTAAACAATCCAGCTACAGTTGTTATTCTGTCGATAAAGCATCAGCAGTATTTAGTTGTATAGCGCTATAAATTTGATTTTCGTGAGTATCCTGATTGTGAGGAAAAAAAACTTAGTTCAAATTCGGGAAGAATGTAGTTGAGTACAGACGATCATGGAAGATGTTTTCATATTGGTGGAGGATCGAGAAGCATATACTGTGCTTGAAAGGCACAAAACCCTTACCAAGCTACCTATGCACACACAGAACGGAAAAATGTTTCCATCAGCTTTTATTCGTGATGACTAAAGCAAAAGGTTTGGAGATTCTTTCAACCCGATTGTCACTATTATGGAGTTCACGATTCTTTCGGAATGACATGTTTGGGCCGATAAATAGGAGTGTATGCGCTACCCCAACAAGTGACCGATTATTATATACCTAATTAGTCAGGTGGGTGGTGGATATCTTTCATGTTGGACTAACAAGTCTCCACTTTTTTGAAGGAAGTTGGTGGAAGAGTCACAGAAGCTTCCGTATAGTTTTTTTTGTAACATGGTCGGCTATTCACGCTACCTAGGAGGGACCAATTTGAACTTTTTTCGTTATTTCTGCTCATTCGTATGTTCCGGAAACGGATCTCGGGTCCAGCCATGGTATTTTCTTCAACCAATTTCAATAAAAGCATCGTTGTGCACAAATAACAGAAAAAATCCAACACCATCAGGCTACGTGCTACGTATGTCGAAATAGTGTCTACCAAGATGAGTGTTCTTATCGATTCCTGCTTCAGAATGGTGCAAACTGCGAGGTGGATAACATACGACCTGGTAAAAGGGTAGGAAAGAGATTACGAAGAGCTTAGCTGCTGTTGGTGGGGTCCGCGTTCCGGGGTGGGGTCCCCATGATCCTCCTTGTGCTTCGCTGGGGATACTGCAATAAACGGCGGCTGGTCGACGTCAGCAGCGTTCGTGTTGTCCGTTTTTCTCAGATTATCTGAAAATGTTTGAGTTAGGTCAGCCCTAAGTCCCTCCCCTCACTCACTCTTTTCGCTCCTTTTGACTCCAAGGCTTTAAGTTTAACTGGATAAACTCTGTGGTTGTTGGGCGCGCCGGCATCAAAACTGATGTTGCTGTTTCTGAAGAGTTAACACTGCACTTCTGCACGAGTCAATTTGAGACGTCCATCCACTGACTGCCCCAGTAGGGACTCGCTCACCGACAAGGCTGTAAGGATGGGCACATTGACGTAAGATATGGGTTGTTTCCCCTATTAACTACCACCATCTCTCTAATAAACCAAACAGGTATGAGGAGGTTTTTAGCATTGATCAGGACTGAGCAACACTAACGTAGGGGAGAATAAAAAGCGTTGTAGATAACCTATAACCAACGGATTTTTCACCGAGAACATCGATTGTAAAAACGAAAACACTGACTTTCAAAGCGGAATACGAAACCTTCCGGCTTGGAAAACCACAGTGCGGAACCGATGGAGACGTCACATTCTTCCGGAAAAATGGGGCTTGTTGACTGAAAGTACCCGAATGCGCACGGAACGTGGTCAGGGTAATGTACACAATCACGTCATATGCCAGAATTAAATGAGCAACTTATGGAAGATATCCCTCACTTACGAATGATACGGCATTCTTGATATCCCTCTCTAAGATAAGCAGTAGCGTTCTTTGGGAATTCTTCCGATTAGCCACGGGTGACCCAATTTTTAGCCAGAAAATAGTTTTCAAGACTGATGACCAGCACACTCAAGATTATTCCAAATTGAGTTGAAAAGAAGCACAGTATTCACCGGCTTTCTGGCCTGTACAATTCGTCGAAGAATGCACGTGGACGATCAATCACCGCAATGTATAAGAAGGTGCATCGCAAGTCCTTGCAGTTTTTTTTACAGGTATCTGGTCATTTACTTTACTTGATGTGGACTCACCAGGACGGGAGAACGACTGTTCAGACGAGAGTGATGTGAGCTATCATTTTATAAACTAAAAGTCTAACGCGAACCTGCTACACGAGACATGTATGTGCCTTGAAAATAAGGCGGTCTAGACGTAGGGGGGTCCAATATGTGCTTCAATTGACTGCTTCAATCCCTGTTACCGTGGGTATTCTGGTCGTGCCATTTCACCACAATTTTTTCGTTTAAAACATGTGACGACTGGGAACAAAAGAGCTACGTGTGAAAAATATATATATCAGTACTAACGTTGAGCACTAAGCCTCTGTTAGTTGACACTGTGAACCCAGCTAAAAAGAAATTTTGGCTAGTTACGTCGCTGAACCGAGTCAGTGGATCTGGAGTTGCCCCGGTAGGATGATTTCAAGATGAGAGCTGACAACTGAAGACCCAGAAAAGGTAAAATCCAGCATGATAGGAAGACAGGATCAATGCAGTTAGGTCAACAGTGAACTTAGCGAAGACATCTGTACAGACGGGGTCAGTTCCTACCGCTGGTTAGAGGTCCGCTATATTTGTAGCCATGTCAGATGATGGGGACGGCTATATCTTGCTCTGCACCGCATTGGTTGGGCGTCATGTGATCATATGACCATAATGGAAATGTGCAATTGCTTGGATCTAGGTTAAAGGACATAGTCACGCGAGCAGGAAGGAACAATCAGAGCATATCTTGCACATGCTTTGGGACGCTTCATGAATCGTAAAAATTGACATGCTGTGGGATGCCAAATTATAGGATGGCTAGTCATACGTTTGGTGAAAAGTGCAAGCTGACTTAAATTCGTGGGATTTTTGTGAGGTGATGGTGACTCACAATAAGGATCAGGCAGGTGCACAGCGCTTCTCAGCCTTTCCGCAAAGGACTTCAGTTGCAGTGGGAAATTTCGAATGAAACTTCCAAATCTCACCATACTATCAAAAATCTTCGACACAAGCTTCATAGTTCCTCTTTAGTTCAAGTTAGGGTACCCAAACGGCCCGGTGATTTCGACATTTGAGACTTTGCTGTGCGGTGTACATGTCCAGTGAAAGCCTATCAAAATCCCGGCTAACAAACATGAACCTGGTATGAACCTATGACATTTCTAATCATCTTATCGCTTCTTCGTGGTGCACGAATCTCGGTAATTTACCTGATCATTGAACCCTCTTCCACGGTTAAACTCTGACTCTGCATTCGGGCGCATTTCTCTTTCTAGCGAATGATTCACAACTGAAAGCCAGTAAGCTAATAGCTTACCAAAGTGAAAAATGAGAAGCACCGACAGTGTTTCAGTAACTAGACCCGAACGTTGGCAAACGCAATACCAAAACCCTCCGGCGATCCCATCGAAAAGACCTGTCTTCCAACACTTTGAAGATCGAGCTCCTCAGCATTGGTGGCCAGATCCCACCTACCAATGAGAAAGCTTCATTTCTATTTATCCGCAGTGCGTTCAAGCGGTGTGGCATGATGTGACCACTGTCACACATAAGCGGAGGCACAGTAACACACAAAAGATAAGCGCCAAAAAAGAGTCAAGGAATTCTGGGTTTTTTACACCTAACACATCATAAAACCGCAAGGGGAATTCTCTCCTGCCCAAAAGCGAACATTAACGGGACCATGAAAGATTATTCCTTCCCGGGCGGCGAACGTACAGTTCCTGGTAATGCTACTTTAAAGGATTCACCATCCCAAAATGCTTGTTGAGGAACACAGGCGGGAACTCTAGAATTCTTCGAGGATTTGTGTCTCGTATTTTTTTTCCGTCACATAACGAAAACGACAGTAACGGGCGAAAAGTATTAGCGTACGGGGGTGACTGACCTTGGCATATCCAGTCACCATCCTGGTTCGTCGGGCCACTGTGATACAGAATGTATGTATCGAATCTGACACCGGTCTCTGGCAATCGCTGTCGAAAGAAACAGCTCAGACTGTGCATTACTCTTGACCGTCCAGATGTTACTGGCGTATTCTCGCCGTCTGGTTCGCTAGCCGTCATAAGACTTTGACTGGTGTTGCTACCAGAAGAGTACACACAATCGTAAGCGCGCACTGAGAACTCTTCAAAGAATGTTCGTAGAAGTTGCGTGATATCAAAGCATCGTTGCGAGGAAATCGACAAAAGTTGCTTTGACTGAGGTATGACCACACCATGCACGTCACGGAGCAAGCTGAATAAAATAATGAAATCAGACAATGTGGAATTGGGAAGTGATTCGGGTAGGGACATCTGCGATGGCAAATTATTCATTGGTTACGACAGATCTTCTTTTTCAGAAAAAATATCCTTAGGACCGGACAATTTGCCTTGAGTTATATCCTAGTGTAAGTACATTTCGAATTCAAAATCAAGGCCAAAAAGAGGAAGTGAGGCTACCGTACAGGGATGCGAAAGCTCATGGCGGAGGAATTCAAGAGATTGTTTAAAAAGCGCCAGTCGAGAGACAGGCAGACAGATAAGCAACGAAAATGCTCTCCCGGAATGATTGGGAAAGGTCGATTTGGGCGAAAAAAACCATATGAGAACTGACGACATCGTCTTGACTGCTGGTGAGACGTCTTGGTGACTTGGCTGACCTAGTAAACCAACAACGTGAACCGTTAACATTGGACTAAGTGTAAAATCCATTGCTTTGGTTCTTCGTTCAGGAAATATTCCATAGTGATTTGAATGGACACACAGTGCAGACAATGGTGAAAACCGTCGCAACAGCTAACGTGCAAGTGCAAGACTGGTCACTCTCAAATTAGAAAGATAATGGACCCTGGTTAAACACTGTCTTCGTTTACCCCCAGTTCCAACAGTAAACCCGGCAGTGTAACAAAACCAATCACAACTGAATTGAATTGAATCGGAATTGTTATGGATAGCAGTATTCCGGTCCCGCAGTGAGGTGAACTAGTTAAGGTTCTTCCATCAATTGGAACCGATTGAGAAGTCATCGTTCGAGAAGAGATTGATAAACAATCGGTAGTTTTTATTTGGGCAACGTTTCGCTTTTGACACAAAAACTTCATCAGGCCAAGTTAAGGTTCTGTTGATCACACGACCCAATGTCTGTCCGGGGCAGACACAGGGCTGACATTCATTACCAGGCATAAATAACCGATACAACATTGCACAATATGACTGGTGAAAAAAACAGACACAATATAGTGTTGAGAGTCGCATGGTTGCTATGGTGGATAACTATGTCAGTCAGAATGATGAGTTACCAACTTAGCTACGGGATTCGACTAGTTCTTCTCTACACGCCTCAACCCCCAAGTATAAAACCGTCAGTCTAAACATGATGGCATGAAGCAGCTAATGTACCAGTACGATACTAGCGCGTGTGGTGCGTGTTATCAGGTAATGACAGGGCTAGTGAAGTCTGGCGACATGAGCCACAAGACCGCTAACACAATAAGCCCTGGGTATGAGGTGAACTGACGAAACATTTATTGTTCGACACGCTTGTCTCGTACAGCAGGCATTTGCACAACTGCTTAACATAGAAATTAGTGACCGCCTATTACGACCTTTCTTGCTCAGAAGACTAGCCTCATTCCGGAGTTTACACAAGGCAAAAATGTACAAACCGCGTATAAACCGCTAGCCGCACTACAACCTAGTCCCGGAAATCGCTGCAGTGAGTCACATCATCTCATGAAATGTACTTATCGACACAACGATTTGATTATTACGGGAGATTCAGCTGAATCCCTCGTTCATGATGATCTCAAGTGAATGTGCTATGCGGAGGCCACCCTGTATTCTACTTGGTACGACATCCGAGATAACGAGAAAGGCGAAACTGGAGGTGAGCTGTCGAAGAGCTTTCAGCCACTATGCGAGTAGTTTCCTTCATGAAAATATACTGCGACATCTTGAGTATCGCACGCAAATGAGACAGTAAACGGTCATCGTGCAGCACATTCAGTTCAAGAATATCGTAAACCAGAGATTCAGTTGAGTACCTTGTGAAAACTAATTGAGTGTAGTTCGCATATTTCGTGGAAATTGGGTTCAAATAGAACATAATTTTGACGGAAACTCCGGGATTGTCTATTTCATGAGCCTCAAAGAGCGCGAAACCGTTTGTGGGCTACCGAAGAGTTTTCAGAAGCCTTGTGAGTAGTTTCTTTCAGGGGCATACATTGTCAATTTTCTTAACCAGTAAACGTTCTTTTCTGTCCCCAAGTAAATTAACCATTGAGACAATCCGTCAACTTCCCGCCTGGTGCTCTGGTTGGCAGATAAGAGCATAAACCAACAGTCAGAATCGCATGAGTATGCTGTATTTCAAGTAATCTGATGATCACTGTTGATACTCTTGTAGGGACATGGCCAGTTTGGTTGCTGCTATATTTGTCAGGATTTTGTAGCATAGCCGTTGACATTGACAAGTAGAGATGGGGAAAAAACCGAACTATGCTAAATAGGTACTTTGCCACAGTCTGACAGTTATTTTACCAATAGGTTCGATAACAGTAAGTGATGTTGTGTTCGAGATGTGATTATCGCGTTACTGGGGCGGGTGATGGAGAATCAACCTAGAAATGACAAAATGACCAAAATGACTGTAGTGCCTTGACTTGTCGCTTCCAAGTATAGATAACTGGATAAAACAGCCTCGGTGACGGCCAAAAGCAACTTCGAAATGCCTTTGAGTACCGTCCCTGCACTCGGTAGATAGCCCAGAATGCGCTCCATCTCTAACTGGACGTTTGCTTCACTTGGACGCACAACTACATCGATGTTAATAAACCTGACAACCCGGACTGTCAGCCCGATGGGACTGTTGCACATTTGGAGAGCGGTGCTTTCAGCGTAGCTTGTCTCAGAGAAACAAACGAACGAATAAACACAGAAGTCGGCTTCAGATTCAGGTATCTTAAACTGACGCGGAGGACGCGAAAATACGAGACACTGAAGCGCCGGATGCGTAGTGTGGTGCGTCAGGTATTTCCCTCGTTGACGATTGAGCCAAAAGACAGTTACTGTTTGTGGCATGAATAGTGGCTCCTTTCGAACTGATGGAGTAAACAAAACTTTGACTGCTTTTTTAGCTTTTTGTCCATCGATCTCTCTGAATAGTCAGTATCTGCAGACAATTATCGCAAGGACATCAGCTCTTCAGCTAATGTACTTTCAGTGCAGACCATCTGAGCATGATTCATTAAGTATACTATTACGTTGAGCTTATGTACCGCGGAAGAGATAGCTGAAATGTGTGTATTGGTCATTCTAGTTCCTTTGCAAAGATTCTCCTTTGGATTCTTCCAGCAGGTTGATGTTTCAGGCGTACCTCGAGAAAGGCCAAGTGGTTTTCCGCATCTGCTCCCAAAAAGAACTCGTACTCAGGTGTGCCATATTAGACGGGTATTTGGAATACGTTCAGGGCACACAACGTCATCCACATATCCTTCGCAGGTGCTGCATTTCAAGGTGAGAGATCACAAGCTTGTATTTTTAAGTTTCACCGCGAAGACCTCAGTAAGCATGGGCCCTAATGGGGATACTTCATCTATCCGGTGTCAGACTTCGCCGTTCTCAAGTATCTTCGTTAAACAATTGTCGGGCCAAGGAAACGAACCTACTTTGCGTATTTCCTTGTTTCTCTGCCTGTCTTTTATTTTAACCATGAGAAATGTAGCTGAAGCCAAGCTTGTTCACTACCTGTCTTCCTCGTGGTGGCACGGTCGGTTAGCTGTTCCCCCGTTGCACTGATCCGGTGGCGTCCGTAGACCACGTGGGACAGTTCAAGTTCCACACTCCAAACATCCGTGCCACTGAATGCCACGGAGCAAACTGAATAAACTGACAAATCGGTCAACGAAACAGCTTCTACAAACAGAGAGAATGGTTTATGCGGAGTATGGACAAAGGTTCCTGCCGGAGGTCATCTGATCGAAGAAAAAATAGACAATAGAACGCGAAGTCACGTTCAAAATCTAACTATTCACTAAAGTAACGTGTGTAACAAATCGTCACTAAATGGCTAGCGTGAATGACGCTAATTATGCCTGCAAACAGTGGATGGGCGCATAAAAGATAAGCTATTCGGATTTTGGGTGGCTAAATGTTTTGGTTGGTTGCCCTGTCAAACACTGCAATTAGTAGGGAGGGGGCCTAGGAGAGAAGACCGCATTTGAATGTACCATACTATTGAGCTGGTCGCTTGATGAAAGATGTTTGATTAAAAACGAGAAATCCCGAAAGCGAGCAGAATAAAACATTAGGTTAGGAATCAAACTTACTCGCTAGAAAGTTGCTGCATAATTAATCCATGACCCGCTGCCGTACCGCCCAAAATGCGACCTAGCTCGTAGAACACACTGCATAGGCACAATTCGACTGGGACGCAAAGTTCAAACAACCTAAAGGCGAGCAGTCCCTTTGGGTGAGCTACGCATATCATGAGCAGTATGGTGAATAGAATGCCGCCGGTATAGGAACTTTCGGAGACGAGGACCAGATGCCTAATGCCATGCGCAGCGCCAATGCGCAGAAGATCTACCGCAAGAAAAGATAAACAAGATCGACGATAAGTTATTCCGAAATAAGAATTGAGAGAAACTCGGGAGCCCATAACCAAAGTGCGTATGAAAGATCAACAGAAACAGAAAACTTCGAGGTTATTATTATTAGCAGGGTGGACAAGTTTAAATGGGAATTCTTTACATAAGATGAAAAACCAAAAAGCACTGTATATCCTTATTGTAACTTCAGACAAATACCGCCATGAAGAACAAGTCGAAAACTGGTAAGTTAGGAGATATAAGCGAGACTAAATACCACACAATAGTGACAAAGATCAGCAGAGTAGCCTGATGTCTTAAAAAGGATTGCTGAACGTTGATGTTGGTGGAAGCTCAGTTATACGTTCTTTGCCACGGCAACAAGATGATTAGGTTCGGTTCCTATGAGAAATAATATTTGGTTGATATAAACTGCCAAGAGGAAGGAAACGATGTGCAAAAGTCGAAAGTGGTGGATGATGAAGTACTCTGCCTGAAAGTAAGGATCTGAATCCGAATAACTGTCATCCGTGTATTGTGAGCGCCAATAAGAGTTTTCAACCACACATCGCTGCGTCGATATAGCAGCATAATTTTCGGATGGAATAACTGAAGTGAAGCAACTGGAAATGGAAACTTCAGCAAAATCGTCGCGGAACAGCTAATCCCGCAATTAGAAAGCCGAATTACATGGCCTGTAAGGTAAGCTTTGAGTCAGGTCAAAAATATTCGTGACCATTAATTGTGGGATTCAGCGGTGCCAAAACTGTTCAGAATAGGCGCGGAATAGTTATAATTTTCCTAAACTATGGTGTCGCAACATGACAACCTGGTCCAATGAAGTTCGAAGTGACGAGGATGATAGTAGCATCCCTTTTTGGTAACCTCACGTGATACAATCCAGTGTCTTTGTTCTCACACTTCACACCGATCGGGTAAAGATTTCGCCTCAAAGGAGCCTCCTTATAACAAAAAGGCCAAGGAAGTAGGTCAACAAACAACTTTCTCTGAAGTTCCCTGGCTTGGCACCAAGAAAATACAGATTCGCAACATTGAAACTCGGGAGTTTCTGATTCCATGAAGAATGCATTGAAAAAAATGGCGTCAAGACTATGTGCGGGTATTGGAAACATGCCAAAAAGCATGCCGGTCGCGGGTTAATCTAGCAAGAAAAAGCAAAGCAACTAGGGGATGGTTGTATAAATTACACAAGCTTTTGGCATATTGGCTTGTATTCTCAATGGAAACGCGCCGAAGCGGGAGTGGAGTTGCTGGCACACTTGTCGAAAATATGAACAGGCTATTGAACAAATGCTCACTATCTTGACGGAACGCGCATTCATTTCGTACGCACTCTCAAGAGGCAGGAATAGAACCAAAAGATCGATTGGAGACAATGACGGCGTGGTGTCATATGAGAAAAGTGACCGCTATCAGTATTAAGGAGAAGCAACTGACCGAGTAGTTTAAAAAACCCAAACAAGGATCAAACTGATGCGCAGTATGAAGTAAACAGAAAGGATATGACTTCGTCAAATAAACAAGAATACGGTTAAACCAAGAAGTGTTATTTTCATAAGGGAAACTACTCATAAAGTTGCTGGAAACTCTTCGGCGACCGGTTTCACTCTTTTTGGGGCTCATCAGGTGGGTGCAGTCCCCGATTTTTTCGTAAACCTTACGTTCTACTTGAACCCACATCGGACAAATCTCGATAAATACACTTATTTTGGTTTTCACGGGAGACTCGACTGAATCTCTTGTTTATGATATTCTTGCTTTATGAAAACATAATGCTAGTACTTGAATATTGTAATGACTGAAACATGAGACGGCCTTTGTTCAGCCCATTCGTGTGAAGAATATCATAAACCAGAGATGTAGCTGAGCATCCCATGAAAATCCGGCGTAATTGTCGATATTGCTATTTTGTTGACAGTTGCTGGGCTCTTCCGAAAATCCAGTTGCGTCAAGTCAACCTACAGCTCTTGTCTGCCGAAGTCATATCCCCATCAAATCACCAGATGGAAGAATGATCCAGTCAGTGAAATGGGCATTGTGTGTGAAATGGTCTTTGTGTACATAATTCTCGACATGTACGAAACTACCCGAAAGAGTCCGCCAATATCGTTTTTACCATTCTGAGGTAGGCATTTTGAGCGTAATTTTTGTCATCCTAGCCCATACCACGAACAATTGTCTCCCCAAACATGGCTTTCCAAATAGCGATACACGCCAATACAGTCTTACAAATATGCAATTTCGATAAACAAATGCTTAGTTTTCCAGCGAAGAACATACTGGTTTCAGTAACTAAGCTCAGGATTCTTGGGACATACGAAGACGCCAGTTGTATCGAAAGCATGATGAATCGGGGTGGCCAAAAATAAAGCCGCACAAGAAGTGACATTGAAGCAAGCGCCTGTTGATGCCGGACGCATTCGGTAGTTTTCTCGCGTTCGTTAGGCGAGATGTTCCTGTTGTGTGTTGATTTCAGTGGATCGGTAAGACGAATGTATGCATTACTTCTAATGCATCTCACTTAAAAGAATGTAAAGAAAAGCTAATAACGGCACCGTTAATAGCCTGTGCTACCTCACCAGGAGTGTGCTTTCAAGGGTACAATATCATCTGGTCCAGAGGATACACTGCTGTAATTCACGAAACTAACTGAGTTGTAGTGGTGTGTTCTTTATGTTTGAAACGAATGTATCCAATGAACTGGAGAACACTCCGGTTTGCTGGTGAACTCAAGTGAATGATCAGGTGGTCGTTGGTCGGTTCAACGAGCTTGATGGGTAGCTTGCAAACGTTTTGCTATCAATCGAGGAAATATCATCATTGCGCTTTTTAGTCGTTGGCTCATCGCTCGCGAGCTGCTTGCCAAGCTTAATGAACCGATCAGTAACCACTTGATCAATCAACAGTGTACGGACCCGAGCTAACGATATTGCGATACATCATCAATGGTGAATTCTGAAGAAACATGAAAAAAGTCCGTGAATGCCGATATTTGAATAACTCTGAATCAGGTAGGGTTAGAGAACCTATGCCCAAAGTTGTGCATGGGACCATAAGAGTTCTAGTGTAAATATAATACTTCTATTAGATATGCATTGATTTCATCAATTTGGTCACCCAGAAATCAAGCATGCTGCTTCTGATTGACTAAATAAAATACATTACAATTATGTGGAGTCACGAATGGAGGTATAATAATAACATGAGGGTGTATCTACCTGTGTTGCGATCAGACGATCACGACCGTCCAGCCCACATGTAAGCAAGTAATTGACAGACTATTCAATAAACCACAGCCAAATGCGCCGGATTCTGTGACTGGACTAAGAAGGAGGTCGACCCAACTGTATCAGAATCATTTTCACGTGAATTGCAATGTAACAGTGATCACAGTTCATTTGTTTGTTTCTTCAGTGAATAACGGACGACCACCCCGAAATAAAATTCCGTTCACGTTCCGCACCACCGCACACTCCAGGATTGTAGTTAGACTACAGTCGATCTACTCAGTTATAAATAATCCATAAGCTACATGCAAAAGGCAGGACATTCAATTCGAAGAACAGCCGAGCACACGTTGTGATGCAACGCAAACGGGCAATTGAGACCAGAAGCGTGGTTCCAGTCCAACTAATCAATACACGCAATCGATACAATTCAGTGGAGTTGTTTCGAGTGCCGCTGAATGCTTTAAAGGTTGCCAGGCAAAATGCACCCGCAGACGATCATTATTTGAATGGATCGGCCAACGCTAAGTTACTAAAATTGCCACACGAGTACATTACCCCTACCTTGGCTGACCAACCACTAAATAGCGTCCCCTTCTGCAACAAATCCTTGGTCACCCAATCTGCTATCATCCGGGTATTTTACTCGTAGCTGCATTTGTCTGTGGAAACTTCCACGGTAATAACTGTGAAAATCGCGGTCGCATACGTGACCGCTTAATTTAAACGCTGTGGTAAAACTTCGGATTCCTATGAGCGAACTTAAAGAAAAACTAAGGAAAGAATGACGCATAGCTACTCGACGGAAAGCACGTTATTGAACAAATATTGTTTTAATCAAGAAACATATCCCTGAAAATTCATAGCGAATTTCGAGAACCTATAAAATTGAGGTGAAAAGAAGCGGATAAAACGGATACAAGTGGTTCATCTGGTCAAGTTGTTGTTGGCATTGCTAATTAGAACAGGGCTGCGGGGCACAGATTCCTAGAAAGACCATCTTGAAAGAGCTGATGAGGAAGCTACAGTTCGGCTACAGGCTCACCCACGATAGCTCGGACTGACTTACAATTGAGCGCAAGAGGGGTTCGGCAGGTTGTCTGTTGGTTAGCAACTTTGGGCTGTCAAGCGCAGTTTGCACTCGTCGAAAAGTCTCGGACAACTGTGATTCTTGACACGCTCAGCCCCAACAAACAAAAAACTGAAGGTGATCGAGCAGTCTTATAGTCTAGCCACAATTCTTGTTGACATCCTCTAAGCTATCAAGACAATAGATTGACGATTAACGGATCCTTAATGAAAATCAATGAATCGATGGATAAGCAACCTGAATAATTGCCAGAACAAATCGTTTAGTGTCACCGGCTGGTTATACCGAAAACCAGATTTAGGTTTGAGAGACTTTAGGAACTTGAGGGGCAACGAAATAAGCCTGGAGACCAAACTATCTACCCCGTATTAGACTAAAGGGGGTTTAATTTCCAAGCATCGTTAGTTGCACTGGAAAAATTTTCAAAACTCAGCCATGGAAAGATATTTCTGGTGTAAGGGCAGATAAACTGAGTACATAATATGCAAATCCTGTCCGATACACGGAGAAAATGTAACAAGCAGCAAAGGTTAATCTAGTCAGATCTGGTCTAAGGCTGAGAGTATAGCAGCCAACGGGCAAAGAACATGATCGAAATTGTGGAAGAGATATATATTAGCCTCGAAATAAGTTAGGATAAGGGCACGGCAATAATCATTGTCCATTCAATGTATCTAGTAAGAATTTCAATGTGTAGGGTTCAAACGGAATCCATAAATGGATACTGAACTCAACCAAAATGGAAATTGAAATATACTTAGATACACTGAGGTTCGGGCTTATGAGAGCGTGTGTACGGAAAATAGGTCCAAGTTAGTACTTTGTAAACCGGTTTCCTGATATGTTTATAGAGCGCCGACATTCAAGCACACGAATGGTATTTGATCTACAGCAACTAGAGCAAAAAATGATGCCTAGTCGCGCACTAAGGTTGAAAACATACGAAAGTGTGGCTGACTGACGATCAGACTGCGTGGTGACTAGCTGAGTGAATGTCACATTCTACCATATTAGTTGGACATAAGTTAGACAATCGTTTGCACACCGATTCGGGTGTTCCTGAGCGAACTGAAAGTTTGTTTACTGATAAAGCGACGGCAGATTGTTGATTGTAAATGCGCGGAAAACATGTGTGGGAATAAACAGTGCGCAGAATAACGAGCGTTGCAACTACGGCCACGCGTAGCCGAAACTGAATTGGTGACTAGGATTAGTTTCACTTCCTTTCAACCCGTGTTCTCAGGTGTAAACATGAAGTGAAAGACATTACAGTTTCAGGTGCTACAGTGAGGGAAGAACAACACTATAGACTTAACCACTTAATTACTACAATTCCGGTTCGATAAGCCATAATCAATACTTGTGCACTCCGCTGTCAAATGAGCGCACGGTTCGCAGTTGCGCGTGGGGTGCTATACCACCAAGCCTCTCAACCCCACACAGGTTCACAATCTGGACCGAGACCTGCAGACTGAAAGTCTGCGCATGAAATAGCGATATTCCCTGAAAGTTGAACAGAGTAGTTTGACTTCTAAGGAAGGAGTCATCACACCTATTGTTTTCAACATGAAGGACCGCCAGATCTACATCCACTAGCTAAGCTGAAATGAAAGACTACGCTTGTTATAGGAGTACTCCTCAGTATGACTCCATAAATTACGGAAATTCGATAGTTCGGTTTATCAACAGTAAACCATGCGTCAATGATATGTCCGCCCCACCTGTTACGGTTTCGGCGACGAAAAATTGTACGACAGGGGAGATATCGCTAAGGAGTGGAGACGATGGCATAATCAGTTGAAGTTGAACCGTGTTACTTATCTTAAGAAACGTGACTCAACCATCCGTTAGTGCCAGTAGCCATTGATGAATTGGGTCTCATCTCTATTCAGGGAGGCCGTAGTCAACTCGACTGAGTTTACTGCTTCGTTCAGCCATAACACCCTTTCTCTGCCTAGTTACCAAGCCACCAGGAAGAAGCACGAGGGATGGGGTACTGCCAGGTTGCCCAAGCCTAGAGGAGGGAAGTCAAGAGACAGAGGTCGGGTTCGAAACACGGGCCTTCCAGTCAGTAAATTCGCACTTTAAGCACTGAGCCATCTCGTCCAGGATTACTGGTTGGTGCCTTCATACCTTGTTGCCGGATCATAGACTGCAGTTTATCCGTCGTTTCGACTCAGTCCAGGGCTGGGTAAAAAGACCTCTGCGATGTAGACGGTCCTCAGATAGGTGAACTAATGTCCTGACCAGCGCAACTTATGGAGCACGACTAGCTCGCCCATCGCCAGAGAGGTCCTTTTTCTTAAAACAATCTGACGTAGCTCAGCAATGCTAATCCAAGGATCTCACCAACCAATGCTTTGAAACACCGATGATCAGCTTTAGTTTTCTCACATCCAATGCGGGCAGAGAACATGTTTCTGGTTCGTAGAACATTATGGTTTGCCGTGCATACTCTACCCCCGACAGACAAACTGACCTCGCACCGGCGCAATAAGTGTCGACGGTTGGCCAAAGCTGCCCTGGCGTTCCCACTTTTAAGGAGTGATCTCGTTTCTAGCCGAAACTTATGCAACTAGCTAGATAAACAAATTTATCTACCACATTAAATGGTTGGTCTGCAAGCGTGAGGTTTGGGTCTGATCCCATCAGGTATTGTAGCAACACTTTACGATTACATATGTGAAACGTATACCAAACCATTCGGCACGACTACTTAAGTTTTCTTCTAAATGACTTCCACCTCTAGGAGATAGGAAACAAGGACAGTAAATATCATCTGCACACTTAATAACTAGGAGACAGCATCCCAGGAATATTTCGATCCCTGAGGTTTTGGGGGCCAAAACAATAACAAAGCTGCAGGGGAACTGTAAGGAAAGATAACCTTGTCTTACGCCACTGAACCTGTTGAATTAAGACGAAAACATGTCACATATTCGCATGCACCCACAAAAGGTGGTACACAACGCCCTCACAGGGGATAAGAAGTTAAAAGGTATGTCTTTGATGACCAGGAACCGACAGTTTCTGACGATCGACACAAACAAAACGAGCCCCATAAAACGGGCCATCGCTGGATTCTTGAAACAGCGAAGCTGACCGACAACCTGTCTCAAGACAAACATATGGCCAACGCATCCTCCGCCAGGAAGAAATACACCTTGATTATTACGAACCTGTCTCCTGTGGTAATCGATCAAGAGCACAAGATAATGTCAGAGAGTGGGGGGTTGACGAGCACAGAGGGCGTCTCACCTGAATTGTGCTGTTCCAAGGACTGGTGAGCAGCGGCACACTGCGTTACCTTTCTGTTCAGATGCCAAAGCGATATATAGACGACGCAATGTAGCGACAGCCATACAAAGAAAACCCAAATAATCACAGGAATCAACAATAGATAAAATCCTTTAAGCCTGACAGATATTGCGCAGCATACGAAAAAAGACAATTGAAGCAAAACGGTCATGAGGATCATGGAAGTACGCAAATAATGCGAAGAGAGAATCATAGATAACCAACGTGTTACTAAGTCGCGACAAAAGAACATCCCAGGAATGAAATTGAATCGCAGAAAGTAAAGAATGTAAACAATAAACAAGGGAACACAACTGGAAAGGTAGTAGAACGAACTGGACACTTTGGGAAGTTGAAATTCGGATACAACATCAGTTTCATTCGTTGGGTGGGACCAGCTGGGGATGGAGAACAGAAACCAGTAAACACATTGGGAAAGAAGCAAAATGATGCAAAGGAAGGACCGCTGCCGAAGCACGAACCAATAAACCAAAAGCACGCAGTTGATCTGTAGCGGTCGCCAAATATTGGCATGTAAAAAAGACCCACAGCTAAAACCGAACCACAGGGTTGCCTCAAGTGAATGGCACTGAACAAGATTGGAATAACTGAAGACCTCATAGACAAAGCATCCGAGTAAGGCGAAAGCACGCAAAACTGTGCTTAAAACCGGCAAAAGAGACTGTGTGACAGTCACATGCAGGCTAGCAAAATGCATCAAGCAGCACACGCAATAACCGAACCAAAAGTGCATGGCATGGTTGAACACACCAGCGGGTCCAAAGCGCAAGGAAATGAGCCAGATCACAAACAAAACGGACAACAGAATAAGGGAAGACCAAATGAAATGGATCGATGGAGGGGCGTTAATGGAGAGCCATATTAGGTCCAGTAGAACCGTTAGGGATAGAGACCCAGAAGCAACGGCCGAATAGGATTCAGGGGTATACTGTCCGAGCCACGGGCCGAAATAAGTCATGAGCAGAGTTTGGATTATTCAGTGAAACAATCAGTCATCACGTTGTGAAGAGCTAAAAGGAGATAGACAAAACAACCAGTTAAATCCTCATGTAACAATTCACATACCATAAGGCGAAAAGTGACTTGACATGTCAGATAAATTTCCAAGCGCCACAAAATAAGACGTGCAAAATGTTACGCAACACTTCAGCGGCTGTTTCTGAGTAAGGGTGAATTGAAGATGGAGATAAAAGAGGACATAATCCGAAGTAGTCGAAGTCTGGGGCCATTGGGTTGTAAGGTAGAGGGAGTACTGGATATCTAACAGGTGTGGCGGATATTGTGATGGCATTCCTAAAACCTGTTTTATCAAATTTACTGGCAGGCAAGGAAGAGGATTGGTCACGTGAAGATAAAACTAAAGACCAGTAGCGCATACAAATCCAACGCAATGGACCACGTTTGGTACGCATAGTAGAATGATGACGAGAAGTAAGGTCCAAGACAACTTAGGTTGAGTTGCAAAAAACACTCTTGATAGAACGAGTGTTACGATTGCCAAGGGTGAATTCACAGCAGAAATCTGGGAGTTCTTACAAAACGCCAGGAACTTAATCAAGTGTAATGGTGACAGAACAGCAAACGTGGGTGGTGATCAAAAATAAGAAAATAAAAATCTTAACGTTACAAGGTCATAACACCCATTGGTTCGCGTTCCTGATGAACGGTGAGCTGTGATCAATTCGATTTCAATTAGCCAGCTATAACCCGTGTATCCCTGGCACATTGATCCTAGATGATACAGTTTCGATCACTGCAAAAAGGGGACAGTGTGGGGGCAGTGGCATGTTCAGTTCGGGAATCGGGTAGCTACGCATTGAAGGCGATAGCTTTGACGCACAAGCGCCACTGACTGCGCGACCGGGCCGTCTCTGTCGGGGTGATGAGCCACGAGGTCCTAGCAAGGGAGGCAGCAGTTGCCCACTTGACTAAGTTTACTGGTTAGTGTTTTCATACTTCGTAGCCAGGTCATACACTGTCCGTCTCTCGGTCACTTCCACTCAAGGAAGGGTTGGACAAAAGGGACTCTGCGAGGCAGACGGTCTTTTGGCATACGGACTACATGTCCTAACCAGTGTGACCCACGAAGTGTGAGTAATTCATCTGTCGTGAGAATTTCTCTTCCTAGGACCATCTAGCTTACCTTACAATTACTGATCCGATGTTCCCACCAGACCCGATCAGTGCTTCTGAAACACTGATGGTCAACACTGACATCTTCCACGTGTCTTCTGCGCGTAGCGGTGAGGTCTCTGATCCATAAAGAAGTGTGGATCGCACTGCGACATTATAAACTCTGACCTTGACAGACAAACTCAAGTCACGTCGGCGCCATAGGTGTCGGAAGTTCGCAAAAGCTGCCCTGGCTTTTCCGATTGGAGAAATAATCTTATTTAAAGCTAATCTACCTGAACTTAAACAGCTACCCAATTAAACAAGTTTACCTACCACATCAAGTGGCTCGTCTGCAAACATGGGGTTTGGGTTTGATCCCACTGTCTAGTAGTAGCGCTTACACCTTGCATGTTCGAAACACATGCCAAACCATGCGGCAGGATTATTTAGGTTAATTAAAATCGTCTGCAATTGGGAGAGACCTGAACCAAGGAAAGCAATATCGTCTGCATAACTCGATGTCTGTGAGCGAACGACCCTGGAACATTTCGACTACCGAGGTTTCAAAAGCAGGCAGAGAAATTTCAAGCAGCACACCAATGACACAGTTGAGGAGGAAAGGTTAGGCGGGGCGGCCTTGCCTTACATCGCTGGATGTGATGAACTCAGAGGAGAGTTTCCCTCATAGCGTCCACAGGTGTTCGCGTACAAATTTGTAAGGGACGTCTTTGACCGCCAGACACTGCCGAAGTTTCTGGCGATCGACAGAATCAAAAGCAGCCTTCAAAGCAGGAAAAGGGACAAACGTGGTACGTTTGAAGGAGTGATGCTGTTCGATTCGTCTATGGGTAATGATAGGGTCAATGCATCTTCCGCCAGGACGAGACCCAGATTGATTCTAGCGAACCTGTCATTCCGGATAATCCATCGAACTGTACAAAATAATCCTAGAGAGCAATTCCGAAGCGACGGATACCAGGCTAACCCCACGGTGGTTTTTACATGACGTGCTTTCGCTCTTTTTTGAAGACTGGGAAGTCGAGAAGCTCCATTCATCTAGTATTCTGTTTTCGTCCCAAACCTACTGTAACATGATTCATCATCATCATCATCATCATCATCAATGACAGCAACATCAGTGTTGGCACTGATGCTTCACTGCCGTACAACCATAAAGTTCGTTTAGTTATATATATATATATATATA